TGAAACATATTTTGATCACTGTCTCCTATCATTATATTATCAACACTGCCACTCTCATTGCTAATGAGCGATCAAAGAAAGGTTGGTAACAATTTAAGAGTGATGGCTGACGATGTTATAAATTGATGGTACACAATCAGGTGAAGGACATATCGACCATAACGATAGCAATGACAACAGACAGCAATGGATAATTGTGACGACAGTAATTTCACGATTCTGAAGATAAAACAAAAATCATGATAACGATACAAATATCGTTGGTATGGGTTATGTAACAAACATGAAGCTAATAGTAATTTCCTTCTCTGTGTGTGTTGTTTTTCACATACATCATCATCATCTCGTATGGCGGCTTCTCTCTCATCAATTTCAACAATCGTTTATCATCAATCAGCAACCTTATAGGTATTTTCAATTCTATCAATTTTACGTCATATCCTGTCCCTTTCTTCACTCTTCCTCTCCACTGAATCATCTGAACAAGTAAATTCGTCCGAGTGAGTGACTTTTAGACAATAATTATCAATAATCATCACAAGCAATAGCAGACAGGTTGATGGGCGTTTTAGGCACAAAGGTGCTTGCTGTTAATGGCCGTGTGGTGGTTGGTGGTTTTTGCAGTGCTGATTCATCTCCATAACAAAATGCATCAGAGGGTACGAGAGAGACCCCTTTTTCGAAATGCTCTTCTCTTGTTGCTCAAAATCTCTGACTTTATAAAATAAAGAAAAAAAGAAAGAAAAAACTTGTTGGAACTATAATGCATCCTATGAGTTATTTTAAATCAATCAAAAGGAAGGATATGATCGAAAATAGAATGAAATTTTAAAGAAACAACCTGATTTTTCAGAGAAAAAGACATTTCTCATTAAATTGATTTCCAAATGAGTAAATTTTCCTTTTTAATTAAATTCATTCAATTTGTTTGCGTAACTTTTCATTAGTTTATAAAGGAGAGTTATTAAATGCGGCAAGTTTTCGAGAATTTCATTCTCCTTATTACCTTAAAAAAGAAAAAAAACTAATCGCTGAATTTAGAAAAAAGAATGATAAAAAAATGCACGTACCAATTGATTAATGCTTATCATCGAAGGTCGTTATCACACTATCCTAAATTGTGCTAATGTTTCAAAAATGCAAAATTTTTGAATATGCTTAGAGTAAAAACCATTCTTGGAAAAAATTGTCTTTACTATTCTTGTCACCTCATTTCTACTCCGTGATTCTTCATTCACAGGCCAAGCTTAATCATCGAATATTAGATGTTTCAAATTTCAATCATATTAATGTTGCAATCTGTAATGAACAACTGCTATGTGATTCACAGGCCATGACTCATAACTATTATCGACTGTAAATTACTAAATTACCATGTTTCTCCAGCAACAAGTCCACAGACTTTCTTGAATGTTACAGTTGTTACATGAATATATCACTGTTATCATTATTTAACTTGTCAATATCATCATTGTTGCATGGTGAATCAGTGTCAAACTATCTTGAAGAAAAGCACAAAAGACATCATTTATTATTCGAATTCCTTTTATCGGAAATATTGGAAACATAAGAATGGCCATTTGTCAAGCGTTACCAAGGTAATTCTTCCGTTCTGGCAGCTCAAATATCATCACAATCAATTAAGTCCAACTGAATTTGGAATAAGGCTGAAATCTTGATTTTCCTATATTCCTCTTCATCTATTCCATCCAATTCTTTTTCCCCATTATTCACTGCAAAATTAGTAATATTCGATAGCTCAGGAAACATTCTCTAGGATTTCGAAATATTACGGACCGAATCATGGAGTAGTAGTAGGATCTAGGAATTAATGAGATTCTCTCCATGCAGAATTATTGGTAAAATAATTGAATTAAGATTTATGCTTTTTCACTAATCCTCAACTACTAGGTTAACAATATTAGGTCGTTAATTTTTAGGAGAGCTATTTACATTTGTAAGATTTATTCAGCCATACTAGTGTATACTAGTAATGAAAAGGTAAGAACACCTGGAAGCAACTTAAATCCCTGTACTGCTCAGGGAACAGTTCTTCACCGATGATCATCGAACTGCACGGTATGTAAATAGAGCGGTCAATGGAATTTATTTAGTGGTTAGGTAAACAAAACTGTACCACTGCTCACCCATATTCACACACTACACTACAACACTAGTTTAAATGCTAACTTAAGCATCCGCTTCGAATAGCGCATTGAAAAATATTGACTCCTGTCAAGTTGATCGAGGATGACGACAGTAAAGATTTGTTCAAAAACTATATTGTGCTGGATAATGTTTCTTGCCGAAAAAATATACAGATGGTATCATACAATGTTCAAATATTTGGTAAGTACTCAGGTACTCCGCAGATAGGAAAGATCTGGAATTATTCGGAGATCAGAGGTTATGCAAGCAATTGATTACGAAAAGATGGTGATGAAATTTCGAATGTCGGATTGAATTCATAGTAATGTAACCGATTTTTCACTTTTCAATGTCACATAAAGGCGGCTATGAACGCCTACTTATTACTTCTTTTTTAGTTTTGGTCCAATTTAATGCAATTCAATCAATTAAACTCCCTCCCTTCTTTTTCTTCCATATATCCGTTGAAGTGTTTTCTTCCACAGAAAATTTGTCATCAATTATGAGCATTTCATCAATTAGGGAAAGCTAACATTACGACTGCTGAAGTAGTTGAAGATTTAAATTACTTTCACACCAAAAAGTCTTCCCTCATCACGACAACTACCACTTTCCAAAGTTTGATGCAGCATTTCTCGTAATTATGACGCAGCCAGCAACAGGAATCTTTTTCGCCATTTTCCTTTTTTTTTTTTACAGAAAGTTATAAATACAAATCGACAAAGGTACTCTTTCATTCCTTGCAATATTCAATAGTTCCTGTGAAGTGTGGAAGTTTCAGCATCAATTCAATTAAGAACGAATTATCATAGTTCTTTCTGTAACCCTTCATAATGCCATTTCCCTTAAGTTCCTAAGGTGTAACAGTCTGAAGATTGTAATGTATGAAGAGACAAGGTGTAAATCGCTACACCACACATATATATATATATATATACACACACACACACACACACACACACATACACACACACACACACACACATACACACACACACACACACACA